CTATAAACAAATTTATGAAAATATGATCCTGCACCTATGAGGACTTTCAAAAATCGGCGCCTCTGCCAGGCCCACCCTAGCCCCCCCCCAAGTCAGATTGCTTGTTACGCCAGTGCTCATGACAAATTCTATTTGTAGAATTGGTAAAGAATATAAATCAATAATAAACTTAAATAAAATTGTAAATAATTAAAATAAAAAAAAAAATGAATAAAAAAAACAAATAAATAAATAAATTAATAAATACAAATAAATACTTGATATTTTTTTAAAAAACAAAAATCTCTTCCATGTCGTCATCTTTTGGCAGCATGCCAAGAATGCTTGCGGCATTTCCACGTTGGATGGCGGAGCTTATCCTTCGAGTGATGAAGCATTTCGTCTTTTTGTTATTTATTTTTTTACAAATTTCGACAATTAATTTTTTTGCTTCTTCACCCCAAGGACCAAAAGTCTCAACACTAAAAGGTACAAAAACATATCTACCCCCAAGCTCTGGCAAATGGGTCATAAAATAGCCACCTACCTGATAACCGATTTCGACTATCCTGAAAATGGGTACATTTAGGTGGTGCCAGCGGCTAAGCTCAGCCACTCAGCAGGGCTTTATTCTCTAAACCGAAGAACAGCGTTCTCGTGAGAACGATTGCACTGTCATTTTCAATGTTATAGAAATATGAATACGGACGACGAAGTCAGAACCTTCGTTCTCAGGAGAACGCTGCTCCCCTGTTTCGAGAATAATAAAGTCCCTGGTGAGTGGCTGAACTTAGCCGCTGGCACCGCCGGAATGTATCCATTGTCACCCTTTCCCTTATTCCAGAACTGGTAAATTTTGTGGCCGAATTTTTTTCTGTGTTTTAGGTATATTTTTGTTCGATTTGCTGTTTAATAATTAATAAAGACATTTGTCTACGTTCATATTTCAGGTATATTTGGCGGCATTGTTTTTACATCCTACAACGGCATAATACGAGGGTATTTTGACCCGAGTCTACATAATACTATCCTAGGTTATGTTACCTCCAATGTGGTCACGTGCCGCACAAAACCCATAGCGTTTAGATTTTATATTGTATTGAATTACTTCTGGTTTAAAAACCGGCGAACGTTTTTGACGTCATTAATTTGTTTCAGTCAATTTTTATTTGCTAAAAAATGAAGGCAAAAGTACAGGGTGGCCCAAATTCGAGCCTCATCATCAGTGGCGTATTTTAAAATTTGGCGCCCTGGGCCTTTGAGGTTTGCCGCCCTAACTTGACAAAAAAAAAATAATGGGAAAAGATCGAACGAAAAAAGAAACACTATTTATTTATTGAATATTTTTATATGTATTTTTTTGCGATGCACAAATTGGTTGACGAATTCTTCCAATGATAAAGGCGATTAACTAGTCGGTCATAGTTGACAGATAACCAATGAAGCAAACGTCATTTGTCAACCAATCGGTTCTAAATGACGTTGAATGCATTGTTCATCTGTCAATATAACCATCTGGTTAATCGCCTTTAATTGACTTAAGTTACCGATTTATCTTGGACCAAAGGCATTAGGTACATTCAGGCGGTGTCAGCGCCCAGGTTCAGCCACTTAGCACAGACTTTATTCTCGAAACAGGGGAGCTGCGTTCTCATGAGAACGAAGGTTTTGTCTTCGTCATCCGTATTCACACTGAAAATGACAGAGCAACGTTCTCATGAGAACGCTGTTCCTCGGTTTCGAGAATAAAGTCCCTGCGGAGTGGCTAAGCTTAGCCGCTGGCGCCGCCTGAATGTACCCATTGAAAACATGTATGGGTGATGTGCTTGTCACAGTCAGAGACTCTTGTGAGAACATATTTATTGACACCATCATAATTAACAGATTTTGTCTAGTGCCCTCTATATCAAAGATGGCTAAACTGTTCACATGGTGTTCGCTCATACCAGAACGAAGATAATAGTATATTAAAGTATAAGTGGATATCAAGGTGCTCGAAATAGAGCAAGTGTTTTAAAGACCAGTTATCCACGAATACTTTACTCTATTTTTTTTTATTGGTACCTATACGTTCAAATCTTAAATTACTAATAGTTGTAGAATGCTAAGTTCGTGATATGACATCTTGGTATACCTTCCGTTGTCTGACAAATCAATAATTAAAAAGTTGACATTTAGACTTTATTTTCTTGGGTTGCTGATGTTGTTATGGTAACTTTATTAAAACACGCGCGTTTTTGAATGTTAGATTTAAACACGCTGAGAAGTACTTTAAATAAGTAAAATAGGTTATCAATAAAAAAAATATTTATTCTTTCATCGGGTGATCGAACGGTCACCGAATTGCCCCATTTTTTGTGATGTTGTCAATTTAAGAGGGGCGTTTAAATGAAATTTTATTTACAGACCTTCACAAATTTCTGTTCAATTTCAAATTTAGACCACTTTTCAGTGAAATGAAGTTATGTTCATAACAATAATAGATTGGAGTATGAGTCGAAGCATTTTTGGTTGCAAAATACGCAGTCTAAATAGTAAAATTATTACCAATTTTGTTGACAACAGTATGCAAATTTTGGTCACAGATTTAAATGAAAAACGCATAAACATATAGAGTAGCACACCAATAATAAATTTCCAAAATTTCGGATAGTAAAATGCTGGAAAAAATGAATAGAACAGAATTTTCGGAAATTATAATGTTTGTATCACAAAATTAATCAAAATCTGCCAAACAACGAGGTGATTGCTGTCATTTTCAGCAAAGACTCAAACCAAACGTGTGTTCAGCGCTTCTCTAAAAGATGTCGCTGAGTTCGGGAAGGGTAGTCACTTCTTTTAAACGCCAGTAAAAACTGTTTTACCTAGCTAAAAATGTGAAATACTATTATTTCATTTGTATCTGAATAAAATTATTAAGTCCACTGTAAATTACTGTGTAAACGAATTGATATTGAAACTGTCGCCATCTACTTGTAAATAAGTCAATCACTTACAGAGAATTTGAACACCTGTGATTAAAAAATATTTAATGTATGTCATAAAGCCCAAAAGATGGCGCGCTGGCTCTTATCTGACGCCCCTCTTAATAATAGGTTTTAATTTCTGCTTTGTTGGTAATTTGATGGCATTCCTAAGCCCTAGGGACGCGGCTTGTGCCGCCCCTTGCAGTCCTACCGCCCCGGGCCATGGCCCCCATGGCCCTATGGTAAATACGCCACTGACTCATCATTGGGAACTCGGTAACCGTAAGAGATACGAGGTCGGTTAAATTATGGAAAAAATTGCGCAATTTTATGACCTATAGAGTGCCGTTTTGAAACTAGAAAGATTCCGAATACTTCCGGAGATATTCGGAAAAAACCGAAATTTTATAAAATCGTTTTCATTTTTTCCTGGGCTTATTTGAAAAGCAATTTTAAAATAAATGTCACTTCATCATTGTCACTTTTTCCCCTTTAGAAGATGGTGCTACTGAATTTAAAATTCGAGGTTTCGTCTTCAGGCAGCCATCCTCAACTTCCTTTTTTTTACCTAAATACGGCCCTGGATTTTTAATTTGCGATTTTGTCATCTTTGGGCATCCTAAAACCGATACTGTTTATAATTTTTCAATAACACAGTAAAAAAAGCAGGTCCGTATTTAGAAAAAATAAATTGATGATGATTCCAGAGGAACGAAACGTTGGATTTTAAATTTAATACCGCTATCTTGTAGAGAAGAAAAAGTGACAATGGGAACGTAAAATTAGTTTTTCACAATCTTTTTAAATATAATCAGGAAAAAATGAAAACTATACGAAAAAAACATGGATTTCTCGTTTTTCTTAAATTTTTTCCTGATTCCATTTAAAAAAATTTTGAAAAACCAATTTCACATTCTCGTTGTCACTTTTTCTTCTCTACAAGATGGCGGTATTAGATTTGAAATCCAACGTTTCGTTCCTCTGGAATCATCATCAATTTATTTATTTTTAAATACGGACCTGCTTTTTTTATCGTGTTATTGAAAAATTATAAAGAGTTTCGGTTTTATGATGCCTAAAGATGACAAAATCGCAAATAAAAAATCCAGGTCCGTATTTAAAAAAAGTAAGTTGAGGATGGCCGCCTAAAGACGAAACGTCGAATTTTAAATTTAATAGCACCATCTTCTAAAGGGGAAAAAGTGACTACAATGAAGTAACATTTATTTTAAAATTGCTCTTCAAATAAGCCCAGGAAGAAATAAAAACGATTTTACGAAATTTCGGTTTTTTCCGAATATCTCCGGAAGTATTCGGAATCTTTCTAATTCCAAAACGGCATTCTATTGTTGATAAAATTGCGCAACTTTGCCATAATTTAACCGACTTCGTATCCCTTACGGTTACCGAGATCCCAATGATGAGGCTCGAATTTGGGCCACCCTGTACAAACCCTCATGAAACAAACACTATGTTAATTTTAAAATTATTTATACACTAGCTGACCCGGCGTACTTCGTACCGCCTCTGAATTATTAAATACCTATTAAATGTTGTGTTAACGTATCTAGTAGCTGAATTAAATTCAGATTTTTTGTGCCCTCGCTTGGATCCTAATCGCTCTCGGAGCACTTCCGCAGAGATCTGTGACGTCACCACGTCATCGCCTAATTAGAGAGCGCTCTGGGAGTAGTAAATCCAAAAATGCTATAAAATAATACTGTAACGTCGGTTGAATGCGCAAACAAAAATAAATTGGGTTATATAGTCGTGAGAAGCAAAAAAAAAAAAAAATCTTTGGGGTGGACCACCCTTATCACTTAGGGGTATAAAAATAGCTTAAGACCTACCGAATATACATATAAAAATTCATGAAAATCGGTAAAGCCGTTTCGAAGGACGAAGGTAACTAAAACTGTGACATGAGAATTTTATATATTAAATATTGCAATTTATTTGTTATATTGTGACTATAAGGGTATTAAAAATTCTCTACTTTCTTATATTCAAGTAGGTACTGCTACATAAAACTCAGAAATTTTTTGTTTTTTTCAGAATTCTCTGCAGAAGAGTTCTTAGACAATTTACTAACCAAAGGATCCTGTGCGGCCTGTGATGAATCATCTGAAATATTTAATAGAGATGAGCTACCACCTTTTTACAATGAAGAAATGTATAAAAGGTAATTAGTCCCACTGTTATTACGTTCAAATTGATAATGGGATTGTTTCTGATTTTTTTTTTCGCCCATTGAATAGTATTTTGCTTGGTTATTCTTAATGTGCATTTCTTTTTTTTTTCTGGGATCTCTATTTTATTTTATTTTAATTTCTGAGAAAAGCACCTCATTCAACAAAATCCTTTCTGACGTCACAAATGTTTCTGCTCATGCGTACTGTTTAAGGATGTTAACAGTTTGTGCTTCTTGAATTAATATAAAGTATAATAATCATTTAAATTTTTTTGAGTAAGCATGCTATTGAGTAGGTATCTATTTAAGGGAAACAGAAACAATAATAATATAAAAAGATGCAATAATCATGAAATTATTGGTTTTTGAAAATATATCTTGAATAAAGATAAGTAACATGGTGACATTGACTGGCGGTATTGCCAGTGTTATCAGCTGGAAGATCTTTTTGTTTAAGAATGAATTTGAGGTGGTAGACGCTTTTTACTGAGGTGGTAGACGCTTTTTACTCATTGGGCGTCGACCGGTGAGATACCACCATGCCAGAATTGAGTAGCGCTAAGTGGTATCACCACGTTCCGCTACTGCGCTGGCAGTCCGGTTCCAACAATGAGTAACAGATAGCATGATGGCGCCTCCAGGATCAAAATATTCCGGAGGTAAAATACCCGACCACTCGGATCTCCGGGCGTCGGGTGATCCTGGGGGTCCTTCATGCAAAGATATAAAGAGAAGATCAAAAACTCAACTCAGAATTGATTTTAGCAATATAAGAGGAATAAGTACAAATATGAATTCAGTTCACCAACATCTTGAAGAACAAAGACCTGACATCCTTGTTCTCACTGAAACTAAAATCAGTTCTGCAACACCTATTGTGAACTATCTTTATCCCGGCTATGACCTACACCACCGATTTCGACATAATTTTGGGATCTGTGTGTACATTAAAAATGACCTTTCATTTCATCGAGAGGAGAAGCTAGAACCAGCGAACCTTGATATCATATGGCTAAAATTCACCTCAAAGTCATCGACCAAGTTTATCTGCTGCCTCTACCGACCGCCAAGTAACACCGATTACCAAAACATTTTCGCGACATTATCCGAAAGCTGTGATAGTATACAGTCAAACTATCCACAGGCGGAAATTGTCTTTTTAGGCGATTTTAACGTCCACAATATACCCTGGCTGAAACACCACAACAAAACAGATAACGAAGGCAGAGAAGCAGAAGCTTTTGCCATAAGTTCTGGTCTAACACAGCTTGTCGATGAACCTACCCGTATCTCAGAAAGGGGCGAATTTGCAGCGCTTTTAGACTTGTTCCTAACCACCAATCCTGACTCGTACACAATTTCACGTAGATGCTCCACTTGGTTCGTCCGATCATAAACTTATAATAACAAAGTGCGAAATGCTCATCCCACCAAGCTTACAACCACTTCCTCGTAAAATGTGGCACTATAAATCGGCAAAATGGAATGACCTAAAACAGTATTACCTGGATTTTCCATGGCAAGAGGTTTGCTTTAAAACAGCTGATCCCACTATTTGCTGTAATGAAATAACACAAGTAATCTTATCTGGAATGGACGCATATATCCCACATACAACTAAACGTAGAGCTAATGCAAAACCTTGGTTCAACAGCCAGTGTCAAACGGCTGTACAGAAAAAACACAGAGCATATAACCTTTGGAAACGACAACAAACCGCTCAAAACCACACAGAATTTATAGAAGCCAGAAATAGTTGCAAAATTACTATTGACTCCGCTAAAGAAACATACAATCAAAGAATAAAAAACAGGTTGCTGAATTGTCCAAGTAGTTCTAGGTCTTTTTGGTCTCTTGCAAAAGCTGTTGGATCTAACTTCACCAAGTCATCCATACCACCACTTACAGATAAAAATAATCACTTAGCCACAACATCAGAGGAAAAAGCCAATATGCTTGCCCAAATGTTTTCCTCCAACTCCAACCTAACAGTGCCAAACGGAAAAACTCCACCGTTCATTGAAAGGGTTTCCCATAGTATGCCAGAGGTACCCTTTTGTCACAGAGAAATACGAAAATCCCTAAAAAAGCTGGATACAAACAAAGCAATGGGTCCGGATGGCATTCCCGCAATAGTACTCAAAAATTGCGCCAACGAACTCACCCCAACTTTCGCAAAATTATTCAATTTGTCTTACAGGCAAGGAGTATATCCATCATCATGGAAGTCTGCCGCAGTACAACCCATTCCAAAGAAAGGAAAAAAGACAGATCCGTTAAACTATAGACCAATTGCTCTACTTCCGGTGATATCAAAAGTAATGGAAAGAGTTGTGAACAATCACCTAACCAAGTACTTGGAAAAGTACAAAATTATCAACGATAAGCAATACGGATTTCGAAAATATAGGTCAACTGGCGATTTACTTACATACGTCACTCACTTATGGCAAAAAGCGATTGAGTTGCGGGGTGAAACAAGAACAATTGCCTTAGATATATCTAAAGCATTCGACAAAGTTTGGCATGAAAATCTGCTCAACAAGCTCAAAGCAATGGGATTATCGCCGAAACTTTGCACTTGGTTTGAAAGTTACCTAAAGGACAGATCCATTTATGTTGCACTGGATGGCCAGAACTCCAACTCTTACCAAATAAATGCTGGTGTGCCACAGGGAGCAATCCTTTCGCCAACTCTTTTCCTGATTTACATAAATGACCTCATAGATAAAACAGTAAATCCACTTTATTGCTTTGCAGACGATGGCAATGTAGTCTCCTCACTCATACCACCCACAGGTCTTTCCGCACGTGAATTCCATCATCTTAGACTAACTCAAATATCGCAGATAAATAACGTCCTGGAGATAATAGAGGACTGGGGTAACAAAAACCTTGTACAGTTCAACGCGCAGAAAACCCAAGCAGCTCTGTTTTCAAAAAAGACCAGCACCGGTGAGCCAAACATCATGCTATCTGGAAGTGCTGTCACATTACAGAGTCAGTTGAACATCTTGGGGGTTACTGCAGAGACCAACATGTCTTGGCACAGTCACGTGGCAGATATTGCTAAAAGGGCCTCCCAAAAGCTGGGGGTGCTATTTCGTACAAGACATCTGTACACACCAAGCCAATTGCTGACACTCTACAAAGCCCAGATTCGACCAACTATGGAGTACTGCTCACATATATGGAGTGCAGCACCCAAACATACCTTAATGCTTTTGAATACCGTGCAAAAACGAGCTATCAAGCTGATCAATGACCCCGCACTTACTCGTAACTTGGATGGTCTCGAACATCGCAGATCTGTGGGCGATTTATCTCTCTTCTACAGGTACTATCACGGAAAATGCTCTGAAGAGTTGGCACGTATGATTCCACCGAGAGTAGCACCTACCAGGCGAACCCGTCAAACAGACGGTAACCATGAATTTACTGTCAAACTAGAGGCACCAAGAACCTCATTATATCAGAATTCATATCTCTGGCGAACAGCATCGCTGTGGAATAAACTCCCTGCGACGGTTTTCCCTGCAGGTTACAACCTGAACCGTTTCAAGACCAACATACACCGACATTTCCGCGCACTTGCCGCTTCTCGAGCGTGATAGGACATTTCCTTGCGAGTGCGCATATCCGTAAAAAAAAAAAAAACAACTGGTTTTACGTCAAATACCTATATATCGGATATTCTTGGGCAATTAGGTACCTACTCTTCGATTGATAAATCAATTATTATTTTCAAAAAGGCATAAAGAAACGAATATAATACTTACCTTCGTTTTTTAAGTTATCAAGTATATATTTGCCAAAGCTGAATTATATTCAACTTTTTTATATAGTGGTTACTCAAGTAGGTATTTAAAATAAATAATAACTTTTGTGCCAAAAGCAAAAAAATGCTAACAATAATTTTTTTGAAAAAACGAAGGAAACTTATTGTTCTACAACTGCTAATGAATGAGCTAATAACCAACAACCCTCTTACATAATGCAAACTTTTGGTTTTTCTATAGGTAGTGTAACGATACCTCCAATCACACCAATGTTATGATCACCTAATGTTCACCAGCAAATCACGAGGGATTGTGAACTCAATCCGTCAAACTCGCACCAATTAAGTAAAACACGTTAACTCGATTTTATTCAAAATGGTTTATATTTATTCAAGAGAGTTTATGTTATTTAAGAGAGGAATACTTTTAGAACTTTAAAATATAATGTTTACAGCCTCAAGTTCGGAATGTGAATGTCTTTATCCAACCTTCCTGCACAGCAAGAAGGCAGCCAAGATCCTCTATCAATAAAAAGGGGGTTTTCATATTATTGTCAAAAGGACCCAATATTGCACATTTATTTATAACTTTGTTACTTTTGAAAGTTCACACATTCATAAACTTAAAAGTGAAATCTATTTGGTTGGGCAAGTATGTCAAACATTCTAGAACGTAACAATAATAGATAAATTGAGGATTATAAAATAAGGGTCGGAAAGGATAACTTTGGATGTTAAACCGCCCAGGCACATCGGTTAAGTTTCTGTAAATCAGATGACAATTAATATGAACCATGAAGTATTACATAATATTTATTATTAACAATAAGGGAATAACGTTACAGTAGGTACTTAATTCAAATTACGTACCTACCTACTTATATAGGTATATAATATTATAAATTACCACTGGTGTTTTATTTTAGGGGCCAGTCCTATTTCCACAAGCACCTATTCGGCATGTTCTTAGGTAAAATGTTAGGTCTACTATGCGGCCTGGCAATCCAATCCAGTTTAGCGATATTAATCCTGACCAAAATGTCCAGTACAGAATTGACTGCATACAAAAGATACGTGGCTACAATTTTTCACATGATGATATGGTATGATAGCGAGTTTAAGCCCGGATCAAGGTAGGAATTTTCAATTTACTTTGTAATAAATAGTATAAAGGAGCTTATTTAGGCTTCTTTTTAATCTTTTTAGATTTTCTTGTTGTCTCAGAGTTTAATCTTCTTAGTAGCAAACGATAGAAAACGTTTTAGAGACTTTTATACTATGTAACATGACATTATGTAGCAGAATATTTTCTTCTAGTTTACTTATAGACAACTCTCGTATGTTTAAGGAGTTTCTTTTCTTATATTGAATATCGGCGGTGTGCTTCATGTCTCACTTTTTATTTCATCATGCATTGATTCTCTTAAAAATGTGTATCATATAGTCTCTGAGACTGACTACTGACTAACAGTAAAACTTCACTTTTATTTAATTTCCTTATACAAAAAAAACTTGAATAGTTTCCACGATAAATAAATCATAAAAGCAGATCAACATAAACAGCATACTTAAATCGAGAAAACAGATAATAAAACGAAAGAAAATTCTCCAATTTAAAAAAGTTTTGAACGTAAACACGCCATAAAATTGTTCACATGTCGTAAAAGTGCCGAGAACGGAGAACGACTTACCTACTTGAAGAGCTTACCGTCTCTGAATCATTTTTATCCTATCTGTAAGAACAGACAAAATAAGAAGGCACTTTGTGTTGTCTGAATTCCAAATGAAACAGTTAGAGTTTACCATTTATTTTTAACTTTTGCTTTTTCTAGATTATGGGAATCAATCAAAGACATTAAATCCAAACACAATTCAGCAAGTAAAAAGGCCTCCAATATATTAAAATACAGAATAAATCAAAAAGACATGGCCTTAACTCAATTTGATTTTATGGGACTAGCTTTGACCCGAAGCAATTTTTTGGGAATTTATGACAACGATAACGAGGCAGATTTGAAATGTTTTGTTCATGTATGGAGAGTTATTGGTTACTGTATAGGAATTGAAGATGAGTGAGTAGATTCAGGCTTCAGGAGCTTTTGTAATAAAAAAAATATGATTTTAGGTTTAACATCTGCAGAGAATCTGTAGAAGAAACTAGAGCTATATGTAACGAAATTCTATCCAAAGTAATATTGCCAGCTGTAGAAGAAAAAAACGAAAAAAGCCGTGAAATGTGCAGTTATTTGATGAATGGATTATGGGCTATTAATCCGTTTTTAAACGTCAACACTTTCTTGTTTTACTTAAACTTAACCTTAAAAAACAGCAAAGCTGATGCGAACGAAAATAATGAGGAATACAAGAAACTAACAAAAGGGGAAAAAGCTAGGTTAAATATAATATTTTTCGTGACCAAAGTAATGCAATATCCACTAGTCAGGATTTGTTTGAGGGCTTTTCAAATACACGCCCTGTGGGTGGCAAAAACTTTCCCTTTTCTTGCTTATTACAAATTTGGGAGGGCGAATTCGCATGTTAAGATTATGGGAAATCATTAGTCACATTTTTCTAGTCTTTGGCTGTATATTTTTTGTTTATGTTTTTGCTTTATTTATATAAATATATTAGAATTGTGCGTTTTTTTTTTTCAATAAATATCACCAAAGAGGCCAACTGAATTATCAATAGTAATATAACTAGTGCAATGGAAATTATTGATAATTTTTGGGAAATTTGCCCAAATGCATTTTTAGTTGAAAAAGAGCACGAGTGCACGTAGTGCACGAGTGCCTTTTTCAGTTAAAAACGCATGAGTGCAAATTTGTCGAAAATTATAAATATATTTCCATTGCACGAGTTGTATTTAATGAGAGAATTTCATAAATTAAAAATTTAAATTTTTTGTCAAAAAATGTCAAAACACCAGTTTTCGCACCAGTTAGTATGCAATTATCTGATAATTTGCACTAGTGCAAATTATCGCGTAATTACAATCTGATTGATTCAAATCAACAATCAAAACATGTCAATTTATTGTTGGAATACTAGTTTTGACAGATGTATGAAATTCTCTTAGAAATATTTTTACATAGGTAATTAATATTGATTAAGTACCTACGACTTTCTCTTAATGATTTTTGATGATAACATTGAAACCATTTTAAATCATACTCAAGTACAAATTTCTGAAAAAAAAACTTCTGATACTTAATTATTATGAATCTGGCATTACTCTATAGGGGCGATACTTTTGCTCTCGATTAACGAATATGATACGTCGTCAAAGTTTTGCATATGCCAAGGTCTATAACGTCGGCATCATATGAAAATTGCCTAAGGCCAATTTTTTTCAAAATTAAGATTTCAGTGCAGTCTTGTGAGAAACTTAATAATCTATGATCCAACAAAATATTTGGGCGATTAATTGTTAGATGAAGTCACACAACCATGAAAAGAAATTTGCACAAGTCCGTCATCGTCTTAAAACAGAGTGAAACTTGCGTAAGTCCAATCTCTCTTGTGCATTCAGGTTTTTTGCGCCTCCTGTAAAATTTATCTTTTTGGACTTAGGCAATTTTCATATGATGCCGTAGGTAAGGTATTCCACATGTTTTTTTTTTTTTTTTTTATAATGTAAACAACATGAATTACAGCTTTTCCTGCTTTCTTCTTTCGGGCAAATTCGTCCTTCACGCAAAAACAAGAATTGTATCTGGAATATCCAAATTGGTATAATTTTTCCCGAGGCGTAAAACCGGAAGAAGAAAGGAGGAAAAGCTGTAATTCATGTTTACATTACAAAAAAAAAAAACATGTGCCTACTTATTTTTTCTTTATTCAGTAAAATTGCCAGAAGACTTCAAAAATACCGATTCTAGGTATTTAATCATACTTATTTAGTTTTATTCTCGGTTTTATTCTTATAACTATGAGCATTGTTGCCAAATTTAGCAAAATATCGGTTCCAACTGTAATTTTGAAGGACTTGCAAAACGTTTTCATAGCTTGTAATAAATCATTTTAAAGGATTTTTTTCGCAGAATATTATTTTGTTGAAATCGAAGATAGCCGCCATAAGAAATAAGAAAGTTTTGGTTAATAACTCGAAAACAAACGACGATCAGAATGTTTTCAAATCACGAAAATATCCGTCTCAAAAAAGTGTCTTAATAATGTTAAAGTTAGAAAAGTCTAAAGTTAAAGGTTTATGAATTATTGAGTTTTTCTCGGATTTCTAGGAAACAGAAAACTTTGAAGCAAATTTAACAACAGGATATAAATGAGCAATAAATTCCCTAAAACTTTCCTAATTTGAGCCACCCTGTATCTCTCATAATAAGCGAAATCCCCATGTAGAGAATCGAATTTCGGACACACTGTATATTAACAAGGTTTGAGTATTGTTGTGCTGTCTTTGGGACCCATCCAACCCTCTAAGTTAATCATCTGGCAGTAGATTTTCCATCTCATTGAGAGCTGGAGCGTCATTCAATTACCAACTTTGTCCTCACTTCCCGATTATCGTCGTCTTCTCTAACATTTTCTATTCCTTCTGCTATATTTTGTGTCAGGAGGTCAAAGTCGATATCTTCTTCATCTTGTATATTTTTTTTCGGTAGCGCTATCGACATTCGCGTTGAGACATGCCTGGCCATAAAAATGACCACATAAAGTATTGTCCAACTTTTCTGCATCGGCAATTTGTGTTGCATCCTTTAGTGCAGTTGCAAAAAATAGTGTTTAATAGTTATTTATGAACCAAGGGCGCAATAATTAAGGTGTTTGCGGCCCGCAAACACCATTTGCGCCTGTGGTACATACAAGATTTTATGTACGATCGCGAGTAATTATGTAATTCAGATATTATTTTTAAAAAAAATTAGAATAAATTAAAAAGATGCACCTGCTTTCAAAGTCAAACAAGCAACAAAACTGGTGGTTGTTTGTAAAAATTTGAAACACCCGCAAAATCAAAATAATAGACAGCTATGCATAAATTACAATTAGAAACTGCGGCCTTAGCAACCAAACAAACAATAAATTATTTCTGTAATATATTGTTGTGTGTGAAAATGGATTCATCCAGCGAAAATGCAAGATTCCTACCAGAAAAGATTATGGAGTCAGTAGCAGAGGCCACATCAGAATTATTACCAACAAAGTCGAAAAGCAAGTATATGCAAGAATTTCAGAAATTATCAAATTGGTGCAAGGAGCAAAACGTAGATGGTTCCGTTACTGAAGACGTGCTACTAGCGTATTTTGGGAAATATCCAAAAAATATAAAGGATCGACTCTCTAGACAATTTACTCCATGCTGAAAGCCACCCTAATTATTGAGAAGAATTTGAATATCAGCAAATTTGGGGAAACTTATAGCATTCATTAAGCGTAAAGCTGAAAATCAAAAACCGAAAAAGTCGAAAATCCTCAATAAACAGCAAATTGAAACTTTTATCCTGAATGCCCCAAATAAATCATACTTAATGACTAAGGTATTGTTTGCCCAGCGGATCTGAGTCTACGGAAGGAATTCGGACGTAAATGTGCCATGTTGTCACGTTAATTATAAAAAAGCGAAAATATTAGGTATGAAGTATAGTTCATTTGAAAATCCATTTTTTAATAACAAAATATAGATACCAATAAAACGCTAAATATTTCAACGTGGTCGTTAGATCTATTCTTATTCTAATAACTGATTTATTCAATTTTGTCCATTGTAAAAAATAAACATTTTCTAAAAATACCATCAGTTTTTGACAATTTGGCAAGCATCCGGCCTGGATGAACCTGATTGGTGGAGTTTTTGGCAGGATGGCCGTTGCCACGAGGAACCATGTCGTTGTCAATGGACTAAACGTCACCTTACGTCTCGCTATTGGCCAGGGCTTCTGTCATTGTATCCTCCCATCTTGGAATATCGATTTATATTGAAATATCCAGTGGCGGGGGTTTGGTCATTTTCGATTTTCGTGTAGGAGTTGCAATACGATAACACTTCCAAAAAATTCCGCACGCAGCTGGGTATTTTATGAATGGAATCAGCCATTTTTTTTTACAACTGCATTCCCCTTACCGTTGCCCCGTAGACACAGAGTCGCTGGGCAGACATTATGTATCTACTTTAGGTAAAATTAAAGCTAACAATTTCAGAAAGAAAAACTATATTAATTTTTCAAAAAATTAATACATTTTATTGTTATACAGGTCGCCCTTATTAAATATTTCAGGTTATCAGTGGTTTAATTAAAACACGATAGATACGTTTTAAGGCACGATAATATATTTCAATGTTTCGTCTTAAAACATAACAGAACGACTAACTTAACTTTAGCTTTTATATTTCATCTTCACACCATAAACCTTTTCGGGGTGTGGGAAAAATACATTTACAACGCAAAAAGTAATACCCGAGTACAATAAATAAATAAGGCAATAAATACCAACCTTTTGGGTTTATTGCTCTTTGTCAATTCTCAGGTCGATTCCTGGTAAGGTAGATTTGTTTTTGTATATTATATTATCCTTTCGGATACATATTTCAACACTCCCACTCAAAAACAAGATCGAAAAATAATAATAATAATAGATAATCCTAAAAGCTATCATATGTACATTTAAGTTAATTGAACCATTTTATTATGATACAAAAATTGCGAATATATATTAATTACAAATTAAGTATACAATATGCATTTTTAAATATTAGCAAAATATGGTTTTAATCTAATTATAACAATCAAAAAAAAAAAAACTTACTAAATTATCAAAAAAAAAAATATATGTATATAAATAAAGTGTTCTTGGAAAGGTAACGATTTTAATCAACTTCATTCTAGTCCAATACTATTCCTTACATTGACAAATTTAACTGCTCGTAATGGTTTTGTAAATGCGTCAGCCAGTTGTTCACCTGTAGGAATATATTGAACTGATATCTTATTTTGTATGATCTGTTCCCGTGTAAAATGATACTTAATGTCAATATGCTTGGTTCTTTTGTGGTTCGTAGGATTGTTGGCGATGCTTATACAACAGTTATTATCTTCAAAAATTGAAATGGGTTTTGAAATGTTTAAATTAAGGCTATCTAATAAACTTCTGAGCCAAATTGCCTCTCTCACACATTCAAAAAGAGCCATATATTCGGCTTCAGTTGATGAAGCGGCAACAGAAGTTTGCCTTTTCGAATTCCAAGAAATCGTGCAATTTTCGAAGACCCTAAATAAATACCCGGTCGTACTTCGTCTGTCAATCTCATTATTAGCCCAATCAGAATCCACATAGCCTTCAAGCATATTGTCAAAGTTTTTACGTTTGAAAGTTAATTTCAAATCAATTGATCCTTGTATGTATCGAAGTACTCTCTTTAAACATTTCCAAAGCTCTTCATTACATTTACTTTGAAAGCGACTTAATATACTTATAGTTATACATAAGTCGGGTCGTGTACACAGCATAGCATACATTAAGCATCCTATTAGATTTCTACATGGTAGGTTCGAATTAGGCTGATCAATATTTAATTCAACATAATTTAATTTATTTTCTAGTGGGGTTGAAACTGGTTTACATTCAGCCATATTAAATTTATTTAATACAGATTTCAAATAATTCGTCTGATCCAGAGTAATTGTATCTCTGTTTCTCTGTACTCTTATTCCCAAGAAAAGCCTTACTTCATTTAAATCTTTCATATGGAAATTACTCATTAAATATGATTTAAATTTTGACATTGTAGTCATATCTTTTGTTGAGATTATTAAATCATCGACATAAAGTATAACATATAAATTTTTATTAATATTACCTTTGTTAAGAAAGTACAAACAAGGATCAACTGAGGAACTTCTAAAACCGAGCTCTTTCATTGTTATATCAAATTTTTCATACCAACACCTGGAGGATTGCTTTAAGCCATAAAGGGCCTTGTTTAATTTGCATACTTTATTGGCATCGGCTTTAATACCCTCTGGAAGTTGCATAAATATTTCTTCCTTTAGGACGCCATTTAAAAATGCAGTTTTTACGTCCATTTGATGGGCTAATAAATCATACTGATTTGAAAATGCCAATAGAAATCTAAAGGTAGATATTCGTGCAACTGGCGCAAAGGTTTCATTATAATCACTTAAATATTGTTGACTAAATCCCTTTGCTACCAGTCTTGCCTTATATCTTACTGGATTACCATGTTCATCGATTTTTGTAGTAAATACCCACTTGCAACCTACTATGTTTTTATTTGTGGGTTTATCGACTATTGGCCATGTTTCATTTAAAAGGAGGGAGTCAATTTCATCCTTTATAGCTAGCTCCCACTGATCTCGGTCATCCCTTGCCTTTATTTCATCAAATGAATTTGGTATTGCATTGGAAAGGGACTTTGCATAGAGCAAATGACTGTATATGTCATTGTTAATATTATCATCGAGATCTTCTTTATAAGTGGGAGTAGGATGATTTTTAACTCTTTCACTCTTCCTTAAATTTACGTTATTTTCGAGAAAATGTGAGACGCTTTTAGACGATTCGCCTTGTTCAAAATGAACATCTGAACATTCAGAATTTTTATGGTTCGTATTGGGCAATAAGGTATTCTCAACTATTGTTGGCCTTGTTATTTTAAAATTGGTCTCGTCAATGATTACATCGCGAGCCGTCAGAAAACTTTTCGTATTAACATTCCACACTTTGTACCCATTAGGATTATACCCCACAAAAATGCCTTTAAAAGATTTGTCATCAAATTTAGTTTTTCTCGTTTTATTATGTATGTAAACGGTAGATCCAAATACTTTTAGCAATTCTAATTGTGGCTTTTTATTATGCCACATTTCGTATGGCGTCTTATTTATTTGCAGAGCAGAAGTTGGCAAGATATTAATTAAATAAGTGGCTGTAAGTACAGCTTCACCCCAAAAAGAATTATCTAAGCCAGACGTAATTATCATCGTACGTGCTTTTTCAGTAAGTGTACGGTTCATGCGTTCTGCAACACCATTTTGTTGTGGGGTGTGTGGAACTGTTAAATGAAAAGTAATGCCCTTTTGAACACAAAATTCTTTAAATTCATTGGACAAATATTCACCCCCATTATCGGAATACAGGTACACTACCTTACAGTTAAAATGAGCTTCGCCTTTAGCAATAAAATCTTTAAAGACGGAAAGAACCTCTGATTTATATTTTATCAGGTAAGTAACTGTGTAGTGAGTAAATTCGTCAATAAAAGTGACAAAATAATTTTTATCATCGATAGTAATGGGTGATATGGGTCCACAAACATCCGAATGAATTATAAACAAAGGTCGTTGAACATGATTTTTGGATTTAGCTTTAGAGAAAGGCAATCTTGTTTGTTTACCATATATGCAAGCCTCACAGGTATGGTTTGCAGGACTAAGATTGTCAATGTGGTTAACATCTTCTCCATCCACTGGCAAACGGATCCCGGCTATTTACAATGTGATCAGTTGCACCCGAGTCTAACAAGAAGGTCAATGTTTTGTATGATTGTTGCTCTGAAATTTGTTTATGTCCAATCATAAAAGCGAAGCCATCAGAAGTATTATTTGATGATGGGATTCCGTGAACTGTTTGCAAAGTTCTCTGTTTTTCATCAGAATTCCTTTTGTAAAATCGGCAGTTTTTCTTGATAAGGTTGCTTCTACCACAGTAGTCGCACTGAATATTGGTGGTTTTATACTGAGAAAAATGATGGCTCGCTTTGTTTTGATGTTGGTAGGATGGTTTCCTGAAATGCTTTTTCTTTTTAAATTGTATTTTACCTTTACCATCTGCCGCCGGTAAATGTGTTCCAACATTGAGCACTTTTAGACTGGTGGTCGTCCGATCATTTTTTAATTTAACCTCATGATCGAGCAGCCTGGTTTTGACAAAGGATAAGTTGAGATTATCCTCACTCAATGTTTCCAAAGCTGTGATAACTCCGTCATAGCATGACGGTAGAGTTAACAAAAGGTGTGAAACTTTGTCCATTTCATCAATTTTGGCTCCAGCGGCATTAATTCGGTGACGATATCATCGAAGTTTGTGAAATGCTGTAACAAACTAATATCTCCGTGTAGTTTCAAAGTCAGAAGTCTCTTTCTTAATGCCAACTGTGAGGCCAAACTCTTCCGCTCATATATTTCATCTAACTTCTGAAATACCTCTCTCGCTGTAGTTGGTCCTTTAGCGAAACCCAAAAATGAGTCGCTCAAGTTATCAATGATCACACTTTTTGCAATGTTATTGTTTTTGAGCCACTCATCACTACGATCACTGGGAATTTCACTGTCAACCACCTGGATAATGTTTAATTCCGTTAGCAATGATTTTACTCGAAACTTCCAAACACCGTACCGGTCACCATTAAAAGGTTGGATGTTTCTTTTGCTCGCGCCGCGATTTTCCATGTTTTCGAAAGTCTATTAATTGCGTTTATTCACCACTGAGTAACAATATTAGTGTTACGCGAAACTGGGGACCATAACCTATTAAATATTTCAGGTTATCAGTGGTTTAATTAAAACACGATAGATACGTTTTAAGGCACGATAATATATTTCAATGTTTCGTCTTAAAACATAACAGAACGACTAACTTAACTTTAGCTTTTATATTTCATCTTCACACCATAAACCTTTTCGGGGTGTGGGAAAAATACATTTACAACGCAAAAAGTAATACCCAAGTACAATAAATAAATAAGGCAATAAATACCAACCTTTTGGGTTTATTGCTCTTTGTCAATTCTCAGGTCGATTCCTGGTAAGGTAGATTTGTTTTTGTATATTATATTATCCTTTCGGATACATATTTCAACAGCTCTAATGATGGGAGTGTATGGCGCATGTCGCAGAGAAGAACTGACGAATTTAACACTCGATGATATTGAAGATTGTGACTCTGTTTTGATTGTTAAAGTGCGAGAAACCAAAACGAAAGTCACCAGAACATTCACTGTCGTAAACAATGAGTTGACTTTCCTTGAGTTATATCGAGAATATGTATTGTTTGCCCAGCGGCTCTGAGTCTACGGAAGGAATTCGGACGTAAATGTGCCATGTTGTCACGTTTAATTATAAAAAAGCGAAAATACTAGGCATGAAGTATTTGAAAATCCATTTTTTAATAACAAAATATAGATACCAATAAAACGCTAAAAGTTTCAACGTGGTTGTTAGATCTATTCTTATTCTAATAACTGATTTCTTCAATTTTGTCCATTGTAAAAAATAAACATTTTCTAAAGATACCATCAGTTTTTGACAATTTGGCAAGCATCCGGCCTGGATGAACCTGATTGGTGGAGTTTTTGGCAGGATGGCCGTTGCCACGAGGAACCATGTCGTTGTCAATGGACTAAACGTCACCTTACGTCTCGCTATTGGCCAGGGCTTCTGTCATTGTATCCTCCCATCTTGGAATATCGATTTATATTGAAATATCCAGTGGCGGGGGTTTGGTCATTTTCGATTTTCGTGTAGGAGTTGCAATACGATAACACTTCCAAAAAATTCCGCACGCAGCTGGGTATTTTATGAATGGAATCAGCCATTTTTTTTTACAACTGCATTCCCCTTACCGTTGCCCCGTAGACACAGAGTCGCTGGGCAGACAGTAGCTCTCCGTCCTCCAAATACAAACCACAGAAGATTTTTTGTATTTTACAGAGATGGCACCTGTGGAAAACAGCCTGTGGGAAAAAACACCTTTGGAATGCTGCCATCGAAAATTGCTACGTTTTTGACCCTTCCCAATCCAAATTTGTATACTGGCCACTGCTTCCGCCGTTCGTCTGCCATACTTTTAGCCGATTCCGGTGCAGATATTACCAACCTGAAACGCCACGGTGGATGGAAGTCCTCTTCTGTTGCAGAAGGATATATTGAGGACTCCATCCAACAGAAGGTTATAACTGCTGAAAAAATATTGGGAAGGGACGTAGCCAGTAGCAATAATAATTTAAGTTCTTATTGTTCAGAAAATGTTAATATTTTAGAAAATATCAATTATTCTTTTTCAAACACCAACACCTCGACCAACAGCAACAATTTACCCTCTATATTAGTATCTAATTGTAAAGAATGTAAAATTGAAATTAATATATCAAAATTGGAATAAAGTATTTGAAATTTTTTACTGGTATTTATTCAACTGTTTGACACCTGCATGGTGGCACATTGTGGCCCGGCGGGCCGAAAAGTATCAAATTACGCCCGCAAATTAGGGCGCAAATAGGTACTTTGTGGCCCGATCGTACATAAAAGTACATCTGGTGCAGGTGGTGATAAAGTCTTGAGGGGCTCCAAAATATTATTATTTATTGTCCATGTCCATTGTTCAGGATTCAAATCCTTTCCAAGCCAATTCTGTACCTGATAATACACTCGACTTAGATGTTGGCATGCTGTTGCGGCCGTAGGTGGAAGTGACGCCAATTTCACTGCGGTATTAAGATTAAGTCGTGTTGATTTCGCAAATGACATGTATCGGTGGTTTTCAATAGATACTTCTATTTTAGGAGCCTCATAGATGGCCAGAATAATCCGTGATCCATTCTCAACAATCGTTTCTGCTGTACAATTTTCCTGTTCGAAAACTTCCGCAAATTGATGCAACTCGGGACGCCTCTCGAACATTTTAAAAACTTTTATTATTCCTTTATTAAAAAGTGCAGAGGTTGTGTCACAATCAGTGATAGCGTGTAGTAACAACAGATGTCTCTTACAATTTGGATACTTTTTTAGGCTGGAAGAAGAGTATATTTTTGATTATTATATTTATTTTTTCTCTTCCTGGTTTAAGAAAGAAAACATTTTGGTTTAAAGGAGCACGTCCTATTAGAAGAACTAACAGATCTACATATTCTCCAATGATAATAGTGATGTTGGGTTGTGATTTTTCAAGTACCGCCCACTATTAAATCGTCGGCGTCGTCTCTTGCTTGTTTCACAGGTATGTTGATAGCTGGGGCGGATGGACCAGCAGGGATTTTGGGAAGTTTCCCGAAGGGCCGCTTGCTTCCGGGCCGGTCGAAGCATATATGAAAAAATAAAATCCTTCATCTTTAAAAACTATTTTTTATCAAGAAATTCAGTCATACTCTTTTACTTATAAATAAAATAATATTTAAGGCATTTTTCTGCTAGCCCCTAGTGATGACACAAGGTAAGCGCGCATTCCTATGTATCGGTCGCAACGAAAGCTTTTATCCTCTGCTGCTTCTAGGCCCGGCCTTAAGGTCTAGGTGACCGGTTTTACCACTAGGCAGTCGCCTAGGGCCCGGACGCTCAATGAGGCCCGAAATTTATTCTGAAATCAAATATCTTTTGGCAACCTCGCACCCTGAGACACACATTCAGCACCCCAATTTACGCACACTATCGGCAACACTGTTTTGTAGCTGTGGGATTCCCAACTCAGGTAGAGTCCATACCCAACCTAATATCATGTTGCTGATGAACATCCGTTAAAAGAGTAATAGATAATAGATACGAGATGGTCAGCTACCCAGACAGCACACAAAGTCTTAAACACGTCTTTTTTAGGTCTATATAACGCCTGAAGACCAAAAAAAAAAACGCCTAGAAGACGTTGTTTTGAAGATATCCATAAATGTCGAAAATTCATATCTTAGTGATAGCTAGTTGGTTCAACCAAGCTTGAAAGTGAATAATGGTTTATGTATTGAAAAGAGAATCCAAGATGTCTTCAAGACATCTCGTTAAAGAAGTCTTTAGAATGTCTTAGTCCTAAAGACGTCTTTAGGCAGATCTCTGAAAGACGTTGGGTTTTGTAACATTACGTCTTCAAGATGTCTTTGAGACGCCTGATAGACGTAAGCAAGACGTCTTGAATGTCATTTGTGGACATCTTAGGAATGTCTTTAAGATGTCTAGAAAAATTTCTTTGGGCTGCAAGGCTCTCTCATACTCTCTACTGCCGCCTAGGGCCCGGTAGAACCTTGAACCGTCGCTGAGTTTGAGATTTTTTCTTCATAATTTCAATGTTAGTAATGAGTACCTATTCATATTACGTACCTCACCTCATCATTTACCATTAGATAGATACCTACTTGAAAAACTTAGATTTAGAAAAATTGTTTTAAGCTTCAACAGAAAAAATACTGATCTGACAGGCCAGGGCCGGTACCAACGGTTTTCTGGCCCGGTTTTATGCTCCCCATCCGCCCCTGGTTGATAGACTTTGGTCTGTACATTAGCATTGATATCAATCTAGTTTTATTTGAGCGATTGGATAGGAACTTTTCTTGGCTGAGTGTCACTTGCATTGTTTCGTAAAAATTGACCTATACGGATTCCGGAATTGAAGCAGTTCCTTGAAGTTGTTCCATTGCTTTTCTATTCTTGCTATTGTCACTGTATCCATCAAAGACAACCGTTATAGTCTAGGAGGCAGTGACGATTTCCGGTACTTATTTTCCCAGTCAGACAACATGGATAGAATTGTAGGGTTTGTAATTCTAAGCAAAATACATATATTTTTAGGGGGGGTTTTCCGATGGGTTGAGGCGCAAAATGCGTTAAAGCTTACGAATGCATGGCCCTTTTTTTTTCTCAGTGATAAAAATAGGTCTACTAATGAGAAATATACTGAAGTTACGTAAAAAAATAGTCCGGCTAATCTGTGAGTATCAGTGGCGACTCCTGGCCCCAAAATTTGGAGGTTCTGCCCTAGCGGTGTATTAGTTTGGGATAGACGGACACTCACCGCAGGTGCCGCCGGATGCAGATTTTTTTTTTTGGGTGCCCAAAAACGTTCATTTTGTCAGGTTTTTTTTTTTTTTAAATCAACAAACAGCAATAAAAAAATCATCATCAAATTATTTAGTGAAGATTTTATTGTTTTTTGCTAATTTCAACATAATCCCTAAAATGTATTAATTTCTGTGAAGCCCAGAGGAAAAGGACTCGGCAATTATTGAGCGATTAAACAAATAGTAAATCGTTAAACTAATTGAAAAAAAAAGCAAAATTATTCATCGTATTTTTCCAAAAAAAAAAAAATAGATATTAAAAAACATGTTATTATATGTTTATTTTGGAGGGGTCAGCAGGGGAGAAAATCAAATTAAAAAACAAATACATAATACATGTAATAACCTGATAAAGTAAAGTCTGTTTTTTTTTTTTAAGATAATTCCCCAAGTCAAAAATTTAGTACCTAACTATGTTGGCAACACAAGCCTTTTCTACACAAAAAATTGAAAGCATTGACAATTTTATATTGTATTACCAACATAATGTCATTTTGACTTTTATCTTTTAAAAAATAACAGACTTTACATCCTTGGCACTTCGACTATAGTCGTATTCACGATAGAGTTTGAATTTTGACCGTTATTTTCACCAGTTGAAAGTAAATAAAATCCCTAGATCTGTCCCTTTTTCTGTCAACCATCAAATAATGATACATGACATTTCGATTTGACATATAAAATTATCAGATTCGGATCTTAGAATTTTGAATTTCGAATTTTTGCGCGATATTGTTTTAGTTTATTGCCGTTTTCTGCATTATTTTTTGATATTTTGTTATATTCTCAATCGGTTTTTTGGTTTTTTATGTAGTGTTCTGTGCCTTTGTGTTTCGGTGTTGCGTTTCATTTCAAACCTGGTTTTAGTTCGGATTTAAGTGTTTTTTCTTTTTATAAGTGTTCACTTTGGACTCTATCAAGACTTATCTGGTTTATTTTATCTTCTTCAGATAAGTTAAACCTAATACTTACACAATATTACGATTTTAAAAATGCCGTTTTCTTATTAGCGATGACAGAAAAGTCCCCGGACAAGTCCGATCGTACCAGGCTCCTAGAGACTTTGCTCTGTTCCAGCATCTCAGATGATTTAGGTGTGAAGAAAATACGGTAAAATTGGCAACTTTAAATTACCACTGTCATAATTCATTGCAAATAATTTTCAAGGAACAGTAATAACCTTGGAGATGCTTCTTCTTTACGAGACGAATCTTTTTTTTCTCTAAACAAGAGGGAAAGTGACAAGGTAGTGTTTTCAAATTTAGTAAAAATAAGCAAATAATCCTTTTGTAGAGACCAATAATTTATGGGAACCCTGTGGCTCAGCAATTTATACAACTCGTATACAACCATTTCAAGGTGTCTCATGAAGATCAAAATCCCATAACTGTAAGTTAATAACAATAAAGTTATTGTTGATTGATCATAGAAACGTTTTCGTCTTAATCTCAGTAAATGTAGGTACAAGTTTTGGAAGGGGATATTTTCGAACCGAGTGGCTTTTGTTAATTTTTAATAAATAAATTGTAATCTACTGTTCAGACAGCTAAGGTTTTGAAACTAAGTGAGACCACTGTCTATAAATATAAGGATGGTTCAGTTGAGTCTGAAATTACCCCTGTCACGCGGAAGCGTAAGAAGTTGCAGACAACTGATTCAAGTGAAAGCGTCAAACAGACTATTCGATATACAAAATATATACAGAGAGTAAGTTGATGTTCTACTTTGAACATAGAGTTGTTTCAATGTTACTTCATATTAACATTACCAGTAGATTATTCCAAAAGAATACACCTGATAACATTGGAACTTCTCAGATCAAATTAAACTGTTTTCCATAGTTTAATACTATTTTTTATCTCAGGTCAACACAAATTAAGATGCTGCTAGGAATGCTAGGATTTCTTTCATTCCATAATTTCATGATATTTTTTTGAATTGTTTTCTTGCTTTTCAATATAGGTACCTGAGTTATTGGAGTCTTTCATAAGGATAAGTATTCATATTCCCCTCTTTGACGTACCTACACAGTTTGGGTTCAGATATTTGCAGAGCTTCTGTAACTTCTGCTGCATGCTTTATCCTGTGTGTTGGGTTTATTGTTTTTCAGATGTTTAGCATTTTGTGTTGTCATATTTTCTAGTGGACTTTGGTAACTCTAAACATGGTATCACTAATTAAACTTCCTATTTAATGTATCATCTAATATTATGCTTGTATAAATTATTTAGAGGGGCAATGTCCCATCTGTCGCCCACCTCTTACTGTTACTCTTCCTTTTTTATATTATTTAGCAGTTTTTGGTAAAAAACCCATTACTACACAGGTAATTGATTAATTAATAGTTAATAGTAGATTATACCACGAGTCAATAATGATAGCTATTATTCCCGAGGATTATTACGAACTGAGCCGCGTTAGGGGCGAGGGAGTAACATTCCGAGGGAATAATAGCCATTTTTGCGAGTAGTATACTCTACTTTATTTACGACCAATTAATTTATTTGAGATTTTCAATGAACAAATTTCATCCGTCTCATAATTTTCAATACAAATCCACAAGCACTACACGTTTGACACTGACACTTTTGTGGAATAATGACCATTAATCCCGCTACTCGTCATTAATCCCTGGAGGAATAACATATGTCATTATACTGCCAAAATCAAAAACATAATACGCACATTATACATTAGTCGTAAATAAATTTAATTATGCACGTCCACTTGTGTCAGTTGTTTTTTGTGTGTGATGTTTGTACCTGCGACGAAGCAGCACTGGTGATGACTTAAGGCCGGAAGCACTCGGCGGATTTTCTTAATAAATTATTACACAGAATGCATACTCCTCTCTTCTTCAATTATAAGTTTAAGCCATTTCACAAACTAGACTGGGTAATTTTAGTT